AGGAAAGCAAATTAGATGTTCCCCTACATTGTTCGTTTGTGAAATAAAAATACAGTTTGAGTAACACCTTATGATTACTAATGTACTACTGTAATATAGTATATGGGATAAGAAATTATCCAAATCATTAACTATGAAAGAAACATTGCAAGTCCTGGAACACTGAGAAGTCATCACTTGCCTGCTTTTTAGCATCTTTATGTAGACTCTATGTGTGGTGTGTCTGTGGGGAGCTGAACAGCCAGAAGAGGGTAGCATAAGTTAGTTAATAAACCTCATCAACTCTGTAAAGCAGAGTTATTTTTGAGAGAAACACCTACTTACCTACGTAGCTATAACAGTACATTGTCTAAGAAAGTTAAAAAACCTCCTAGAATGGATTCTGCTTAATTTCCCGAATGCCGATCGTTCAGCTGTTTTTACTGGAGACTTTTGGGACTCAGTTGGAAATAGACTTTTTAATGATATTTCACGCCGGGATCCCAATGCTTGTGAATTGCTCCCGGCGTACAGAACCTTGGCCGACTTGTTTGCTTCACAGAACCCGACGGTAGCCACCTTGCCACCTCGTGCGGTTTCTGAGGACCCCACCCACGCGGCTGCGAGTGTCGAGCGGGACTCACCCCCATTCCCCACCCCGCGCCGCTCGGCGATGGCTTTCGCAGTTCCCGCCCTCGCGGCCGCCTCACCCCCTCCCGTCGTTCTCCCTGCCGCGCCCCCTTCTCCCCCCAAGTGCTGCTCGGCGCCACCTCTCGCGGTGCCCACTCTCACGGTGCCTGCTCTCGTGGCTCCTGCCCTCGCGGTTCCCACCCTCACGGCCGCCCACCTCCTCCTGCCATCCTCCCTGACGCGGCCCGCTCTCCCCGCCTGCGCCGCTTGGCACTGCCCCCCCCCCCCTCCTCCCACTCTCCGGCCGTGCCCACCCCCTCAGCGGCATCTTTCACGGCTGTGGTCACCACCGTCGCCGACCTCTTGCAGAGCCAGGCGGCTGCGATTCTGCAGGCGCTGCAAACAGCCGCCGCCGCGAGCGGCCCGCCACCGCTGCCCCTCGCGGGTGCCGCAGCCTGCGGTGCGCCCATGCCGGTGGCAGACCAGGCTGGTGTGCCTGGGGACTGGGGAGCGGCGTCACTTGCGCCGTGGAACCAAGTGACCAGGCCCCTGGTCCCCGCTCCGTGGCGGTCCCTGGCCAGAGCCCCCCCAGCCGCAAGGAGACACTCCGGGGCTCCGTGCCGCGCCCCTACCGCCCCCCGCCCCTGTGGATTCGCAGCAGTTCTCTCCCGCGGTCCCGGTCCCCGTGCCCAGGCCCTCCGACCACGCGGTGGACGCCACCGCCATGCTGCCTCGCCATGTGGACCTCGAGACACGCCCCGCGCATGCGCAGTTCATGCTACACCCGGACCAGCCACCCCACGCTACCGCCGCCGCACCCCAGATGCAGCCTCCCACTTCCCGCGTGCCTCATGCCGCGGTCTACGCCCAGCCGACGTCCCTGCACCCCCCCACACCAGCGCCACAGCCCACGCTTCTGGCTGCGGAGCCCCAGCAACCCCCGCCACCAGCACTCCTTGCTTTCCCGACTCTACCACCATATCCATCCCCACGGCCGGATCCTGTTACAGTCTCATCACAAATAGTCCTCCCTACACCGCCTCCTTCGCAGCTTCTGGAAACACCAGCCTTACAGCTACCAGCAGCTCCTGCACGACCGCACCCTTCAGCTGCCCTCCACCCTCCAACGAGTCCCCCTGCAGCACCACAACACGATTCTACAGCATCCTATGCATATCTTCCTCCGCATCCCTTCCTCCGCTGGATCTGCATTCTACAGCTGCATCCAGAGCTTGGACATATCCTTCAGCACATGCAGGTTCTTCCCACGTGCCTCTGCTGACAGGCTCCACTCCTCCTGCTCCTCTGCCTCAGCTACCAGCAGTTCCTGCCACCCGGTCCAAGCAGTACCTCACCACAGCTTGGCACAGAAACCATGCAGCGAGAGGGAGAAGGATGGAATGTGGCAGCCGCTTTGACAAATAAAGTACAGACAGAGAACTGTGTTGCCCTTGGAAATCCTAACCCTCTTATCCCGATTTTACAAAATTCCCAGAACGGTGTTGATAATCTTCAACTGACAGACTGGCATGGAATCAGACGTGATAGTCACAAAGAGCACAGTCTGAATCTTCGAACCATGCCTGTGGTATCCAGCCAGCAACCTGCTGGTCCCAGAACGTGGACAGTTATCCCTTCCCAGGACGTGAAAGAATTGCGAAAAGCAATAAATGACGGTGGTATCTCCTCTTCCTGTTGAACAACTGTTGAAAAGTACCATAGAAAGAACATATCAAAACCTAAAACATATTTTAAATCAACAGAAAGGGGGAGTAGATCAGGCTGCACCTCAAAAGAGGTTGAGTAAGGCTGTGTATGTTTACAATTTCTTAAATAGCTCTGCAGGAGAGCCTGACCCCCTGCTTTACAGACATTTTCTGAAAAACAAAAAAGCAAAAATAAAGGGGCACCCCCCAGTTTTACTCAAAATCTTAGATTCAGGACAAATAGAAGGTCCACACAGTCTTATAACATGGGGGAGAGGTTTTGCTTGTGTTTCTACAGGTGAAGAACTCGAAATGGTCCCAGCAAAGAATGTGAAGCCCTACCACGCACCGAAATCCGCTGGCACCCCCACACCAGGCAGTACTTCTGCAAGTACAAGCCAAGAAGCAAGCACCCAGACCTGAACTGCGCAGAGTTATCAAGAGAAAATGACCTGCCAGAAACAGCTCGAGAAAAGAATGGAGTTTTGTCGTTTGCATGTGTGCATGTTGCTTTTGTTCTTTTGTTTTAGTTTTTGTATTGAAGTTTTACCTGTAAGTGAACCAAAGACAAATGCCTGGGTTGCTTTAGGCAAGTCTGCAGGCTCTGATACCACCTGTCTATCTGACACAAGGCCTGACAAACTTTCTTCAACCTGTTTAATTAGAGGACCTTTTCCAGAAAGTTTTGATAATGCTACCTCAGTTAAGTTTTTCCATTACCCTAAAGCAGTCAAACAAGTCAAGCTGTTGGCTCAGTAAAAAAGTAAATGCCACCTCTACTATAATCAGTAATTTGATAACAGATAATCCATCTCAGCTGAACAGTTTATTTGATGGTTTGAGCTTTGCACCTTAGCTAAAGGAACTCTGTAAAGTAAGCTTGATTGTTCCAATAGTAATAAGTGTAGTTTTAGTAGCAATACCCTGTATACCTCAGAGTGTGCAGAAAATAGTGGTTAAGTCAATATTTAATATCTCAAATAGTTCAATGGAACAGGGGAGTTGTTGGGAAGGATGGATAAATATAATTGCCTGGCAAAAGATTTACAATAGTACAGCCAGGATGAAAACAACCCCCGCTACTGGCTGGACAATACCCTTACCTACAGATAGGTCCAAAAGTCAAATGGACTGTTCCATCTCAACCCCCCAAAATGTATGGTTCATACCACACCTGTAACCCTCCCCTGAAACATCAGGTGTCTGTGACCCCATTGGCCCAAGTCTTGTTCCAGCCCACCTTGAAGCCCCCTGATAAGGGGTCCCTGAGGGGCCAGACGCCCTCTTGGATCCTCCCCCCTCTTGGATCTTCCCGTCTCTTGGAACTACACCTGTAACGACGTTTATTTGTATTCCACGGACAGATACAAGCGAGATCTCTGTGGTTGCTCTTGGGGGATGAGGTTTATTCGGGACGCAGAAAGGCCCTGCCTCGAGCTGCTAGACACAGCACGTGGCTGGGCCTGAGGTGATGGGGGAGGGGAGAGACAAAGAGGGGAGCAGGGACTCCCGGAGGACGCTCTAGGAGGAGAGGGGAAGATCCAAGAGGGCGTCTGGCCCCCCCGGAGACCCCTTAAAAATGGGGGCTCCAAGGTGGGCTGGAACAGGACCTGGGCCAATGGGGTCACAGACACCTGATGGTTCAGGGGAGGGTTACAGATGTGGGGTGAACCATAGATTCTGGGGGGTGAGATAGAACAGTCCATTTGACTTTTGGATCCCTCTGTAGGTGAGGGTGATTGTCCAGCCAGTAGGGGGCGTTATATTCATCCTGGCTGTACTATTGTGGTTCTTAATCATATTTATCTACCCTTCCCAACATACACCCACTTAGATCTTCCACCCTCTCCTAGAACTCCATGTCTCTCCCCTCCCCCATCACCTAAGGCCCTGCCACGTGCTGCGTCTGGCAGCTCCAAGCAAGACCTTTCACCATCCCTAATAAACCTTATATTCTAAGAGCAACCTTCAGAGATCTCTCATCTCCATTAATCAAAACCGTCCTGGAGAACAGCAATGCCACAATGCCACTTATATTTTTATATATTATTTTTATATTAATAAAAATATTATTTTTATATTAATAAAAATGCACACCCAAAGCAACTTCATTACTTTAATCTTAGGGGATTGCAGCACAAGTCAGCAAAACTAACAGTGATACTGAGGACATTCTAGCACATGATCTTGCCTGCAGCAGATCTGAAAAGCCAGATGGGGAAGGCATGAAAATGTCGAACACTGAGAGCAACTTAAAGGGGTGGTTCCAGGACAGGTAATAGAATATCAAACAGAAAGTTGCTGAATTCACCCGGCAGATGTGTATCAAAAGGCTTCTCTTGCTGCTGCCTCTAGTGTCTACCCAAAATAGAAAGCCGCTCCCAGAGTCTGTATGCAGTAAATGAGTATTAACAAAGGGAATGTTGCTGTATCTAGCAGAAGCAGAGACATCAGCTCACAGGACATATAGAGAATCCTCTTCTATGCTGGAAATGGTCCCCTACCAACGCACATTACTCTAAACAGACCAAAATTGCTGCTGGGCATTTCATTATACAGGGGCATATCTACATGAGTTAGCTTGCAGATTTCTTTAGTTTTTCTTTACAGAGACCAAACAGCAAAACTCTTCTCTGAGAATTTGACAGGGCTTTCCCCAGGACATACATGAAAGGACAGGAAGACTGGGGGATGACTGTTTTTATTTGCATCACAGTAGTGGTTAGAAATCCCAGACAGGATCAGGACTCCACTGTGTTGAATGTTGTACACTCACAAAAACCAGTAGCCTGAAAAAGGGAGCTGAAGCAGAAGACATCTGGCAGAGCTGCTTTAAATAGCTCAGAGGTTGTTAGGTGAGAAAGACTCTGTGTGTGTTTACACCTTGGAAAGGCATTGAGGAGATAATACACCATGTATTCATGGTTTATTTGTACTGTATAGCTGAAGCAAAGTGGAAATGCAAGCTGAATATTTTTTCTATAATTATTTTCCCTCCACCCTTTCAAAAATGGCACATCTTGGAAACACTGGAGCTTTGAATTTCCAAGACTGTAACATCAGACTCTAAATGCTAAACTAACTGCCCTTCACCCTGCTGCTACAATGAGGCTACTTTTGCAGTTTGACTGTGCCCACTGTCCTCACGGCACACACAGAGCAAACAGCAGCTAGAGAAGGGAAAGGGACAGAGAATCCTGTATGCAGGTGGCATTAGGATGTCAGATCATCCCCTGAGGGGTTTAGTTTCAGGTATTGTGAAAGCCTCTATGTAAGAGATTCAGAAAGCCTTTAAAGCAGTGCTGTCCCTTCAAATCACTAGTTGCACACTTACTCACAATTTTCCACAGACTAGGCTGTTAGTTACAGAAGGAACTTCTAAAATTACATGCTGGTATCCAGCTGCCATGTCTGCTTTACACAGTCCCATGTCTCTGATCATTTTTACTGTGATATAGAAGCAAAGCTAACTAAAAAGATTCTTTCTGGACATTATCCTGAATGATGCATAAAAGTTGCAGTAACAAGCTGGTTCCTATAATATTTCCTGCCTTTGCATTTTGGCTTAGCTGGCACACAAAAGGTACATTATGGGAAGTGATGAAGTCCTTTTCCTGTATACATCTCTGCACTGTACTCCTCAGGGATCCTTTGCCATTTGTGTCAGTCTTGGTTAGCTGAGCTTCCCTCGGGAGCTGCCTGTCCATTAAAAGGAGTGTGAGGATGTCCACGCAGAGTCAGACAGTCTGGTGAGAGTGCCTTCCCCTTGTGTTTCCATGCTGCCAGACATCATTCCCTGCAGAGGGATTTGCACTGATGATGCAGCAGGTAAGGGGACATTACCCCTTAAAAACATACTTGGAGGGCTGCTGTTCACCTCATTTCCTTGGTTGGCAACATTTACAGCACTGTTGCTCACTGTCCACAGGCAAGGATAGTGGCTGGAAAAAAAAGCAGCACAGATTGAATTACTTATTTCAAAGCATTTAGCCCACATAAGACTTGCCACAGTAAAGTCAATTTCATTGTCTGTTCAAAGGCAGCTATTCAAATCAGGTTACCAAACTAGATCAACCTTTAAGGTCTTAAGTGAAAAATCACCAGTAACCATCACACCTAGTGACTTGGAGTGAGGCATGGAGATAAATGTACAAGTATATGTGAGATTTCAAAATGTAAGCATCTTTTTATGTGCCCATCTTAGGAGCTGAGTCAGAAGAGTTTCTAGACAGGGAGGTCACAAAGTCTCAGGATACTGCTTAGCCACTAGGGTATAAACACTGAAAAGAAAACCTACTCAATCAAATAACAGTGCATTTGAAATTGCAGCTAGTTTTCCTGACACCTAAGTTAGAGAAGAAATGATTGCATTCATTTCAGGAAAAGAAGGGAAAATAATTGATAATTAATTGATTCTCTAGGTCTAAATTCCATCTACCCCTAGAATAGGTTTCTCATTTCATGAAGGATTACAGTGAGAAATATAGGAAGAAAAATAATTTGGTTTTTAAATGTTCACAGATTGTAGAGACCAGAATTCTTTGTGGGTGTTCCAAGATCCTGGTTTTCAGCAGTGCTGGGGAAAAATGAAGCTCCCATAGACTTAAGAGCAGAGGATAATTAGCTTTTCAGAAAGATTTGCCCAGCAGTCTTGATTTGGGCACTTAGGACACATTTCAAATCCTGGACACTGATTAAAGTTTGGAGCAATGGGCAAATCACCAGCACAGTCCTACAGGTCTCAGTGCTCCTCATACCAGCAGTTTTCCTGTAACCTTACCTGGGTCCAGGGCTTGCACCTCCCTTTGTGTGTGGCACTGAGAGCAAATTAGTGTGTGGAGAGGATGGCAAAGTCCAGGTGTCATGTCCTGAGAATACCTGAAGATTATTGCTGGAGCTCTCCAATAAGTTCACTTTGGGGAGGAAAAAAAAGTAACAAACAAATCCTCAGTGACTATTGCAGGCAATGTCTTAAGACAGCAAAAAGTGGGCAGGCTTAAGGCAGCAATCTGATCATGAGGTGCCCAACCACAGGTAACAGGACAAAAGTCCCAGCCACAGGTAAAAACATAAAATTCCCATGTTCATTTAGAGTAGCCATCGCAATCCCAGGTGTGATACATGAGAAGACAGCATGACAGACATAGGATTTGCATTTCTGTAAGTCTGACTAATAGTTTTTCATAACTGACATATGTCAGGCAATGTTTTGACACAGATTTTCTTATAATTTGAACTAAAATACTTAATAAAGTTTTATAAATACTGTTCCATTCCTGGAAAATTTCAAGGCCAGGTTGAATGGAGCTTTAGGCAACCTGGTCTAGTGGAAGGTGTCCCTACCCATGGCAGAGAGGTTGGAACAGGATGATCTTTAGGATCCTTTTCAAGCCAAACCCTTCCATTATAAATACTTCCATTAAACAGGAATTCTTGCTAAATTATAATTAGCAAGCAGATTACTTTATCCCTACTCTTCTTTCCCACTTCTTCTGAGCGAAGTAAAAACAATTTCTGGATTTGCCCCAGATCTAGAAAGGGAACAGGACTCAAAGGATGTTCTGACAATACCAAAACGCCTTCACCTCCTTCAGCTCCTCCTTTGACTTGAGAGCTCAACTGGGTCATGGGAGGACATAGAAAGAAAACCTGCAATGCTCTTTTTGTATAACTGGAAGCTGTAGTGAAAGCAAGCCCGTACACTCTGGTTTATCACTAAGAGTGCACCCAGCTCCTGGTACCTCTTTTTCTGCTGCTTTAGTCACCCCGGGTGCATGAAGGGTTCTGTGCAGGCTGTCCCAGAGGCTCTCCTTGCCTTTTGCTAGCCTGAGCTCAGCCTGGCTCCAGTGCTTGTGCTAACCTAAGGCAAGGGCCAAGCAGGCAGAGGCAGCAAAGCAGTGCTCCAGGAATACCTGTAGGGGAGTGATTCCTCTGCATGTAGGAGGGTGAGTATGGAGCAGCCCGATGGCCTCGCAGGGCTGAGTATCTCTCACAGCTGTGGGGAGCCTGCGGAGCGGGCAGAGGCAAAGCTCCACTGTACTGGTAATTAGAGCTTCCCGAGGCACACATTGGATCTGGGCTGGAAATCAACCAGCCACCCACTTCAAGGGAAAAGAGAGAACTATTACTATTGCTCCATTAAAGTGCTACAATACAACTAAGAAATAACCAGCCTTCTAACAGAATCAGCTGTGCCTCAGAAATACCAAGCAGATTCTAAGATGCTGGTTTGTGAAACAACTGACAAAAAAATAGCAACCCTCCACTCCCCTCCCAACCCACCAACTCTGAAAACAAGACCTGAAAGCAACCAGAAAATGTCACAAACATTAAAGAACAAATGAAAGAAAAGCTATCAGTAAAACAAATGGAACTTCTACTCCCCCCTCATTTTTTACCTGTTACCTATGAAAGATAATTTTATAGGTGACAAAAACATTCGCAAATGCAAAAACAAAGAGGTAAGAAAACCCTTAAAATGTCATGTATCTTCTTGGTTCTAGATTCCTTTTAATATTGAAAAACTGGATTGTATGGAAAACGATCCCTCTGCAGGACCTCTCACATTATTTCTTACTGTGAGGTCTCTTCAATCTTCTTTTTTTTTTTAAAGGGTCCCTCTCTATGAACACAATTCAGGACTCAGAAAGTGACCAGGAGGAATCAGTTAAGCAAAGCCCAGGTTCCCAGCACCCATCATAGCTCACAGAACTTGAAGCTGACATTAATAAAAACCTTACAGTGAGAATATGTCATATGTTGACCTTCAGAGACTGTCTCTGGAGCATCTTTAGAATGGTTTCTGAAAGGCAAAATACTAGTGGTAAGTGTTCTCATTGAAAAATTACAGAAGTTATAACCAGAACTATTCATTAAAAATTGAAGAAGTGAGTAAAAAAGGAGGGAAATCCCTCTTTTTTAACCTTGCTAGGCAGCAGTAGAACCTTCCCACATTCTGCCAAAAAGGAAGCTGGACTTTTGTTTGATGACATAAACAAAAATGTTCCTAATTTTTTGCCATATCTGGGAGCTGAACATGGAATTCTAAATCCACCTGTGGGCACCATTCCTGCTTGTAGGCAAGCAGAAGGCAGCATCCCCCCTTCCCCAGCTGGAAACCCTGATGCTGAGACACAGGAACTTCTTAAGTGGTGATAGGAATGAAAGGAAATACAGATTCTCCTGCGGGCATATGGGGCACTTCACATGTCAGAAGATAAAGCAGGTCCAAATAAAATTAATTAGAAATTATGGGATGGGATGTACCATTTGGATGCCACTGTGCATTAACATAGGTGATGCATAGAAAATTTTGCAAGATAAACTACAATTAATTTCTGATGGAAGCCTCTGTGACATCTTACCTTTACTAAATCCATCATAAGTTACCACACAGACTTAATAACAGCAGTGCAGTTACATTACAGTTACAATGTAATTTCACTTCAACTATGCTTTTTGACACTTGGAGTTAACATTTTTTTCTCCCTGACCTATCAAATTACAGGATTCACTGGAGTGCAAGTACACTATAGTGGACATGTCAGGTACAATACTACTGGGAAAGCTCACACCATCTCATTTCAGGCTTTCTGTGTAGACAAAGATAAATGCCAAGATCCCTGAGAGCACATTCACCCACTTCAGCACCTATTGTAATAATTATATAGTCTCCACAATAATACCATTGGAGTGACTCTGGATTTAAGACAGCAGAAACAAGATACAGTTATGTAATTTATCTTTCATATGGTGATGTCACAGTTTTAACCATATCAGCAGCAAAAAGCTATTGGATCAAAAAAACAAAAGATGAACTCACCTTTCCTTTGCATCCAGGAAGGCTTTGGCAAAGGGATTATACTTGATTTTGAGAGCTGTTATCTTGAGTTTACAGAAAACAAGACATGTTAGTGAAAGCAATTTGAAATAGAAACTCGACAAAACATCCTCCAGAGTAATCTGAGTGGAACTCTCTGTGTTAGCCTAAAATATAACCCCACACTTGATGTTTCCCAGGGCTGGGTAGGAGACAGATTTGCTGTGTACTGATCAGTGCCACAGGCAAAAAACCAGCTGGGGCAGCCTGGCATGAGCTTGTCTGGTAAATGGGGTGGAATGGTGGACCCTTTCAAGAGGGTTTAAACACTGAATTCCTATCAAGTACAAATAAAATCTGCAGCAACATTAGCTAATGGATGTGGCACAGGAGTTAGCAATTCTTACAGTCCAAAGCACCCCTCAAGGGCAGAAATTTTCCCATTAAGTATTGTGTTATTCTGCAGTTATATGTATGATATAAAACATGGACAGATAGGGTTATCATTATGACTATCAGTTATTGCTGGAGAAAGATATTGGCTTGACTGTAGGGCTGTTCGGCTTTTTTTTTTTTTTCCAGTAAAGGATTGGGATGCCAGGACAGATGGACCAGTCTGGAATAGCTATGGCAGGATATTAAGCTAAACCTGGCTTAGTACTGGAGCCAGACACTAGATTAGTCAATGTTCTACTGCAGAGAAAAGACAGAATATTAGACTGGATGGAGTATTACACTGCATGGGATTGGTTGGGAAACAAGAAAATGGCACACTGGTCTTGCAGTTAATCAGCTTGTAGCAGATCTCATCAGTGGTGACCAGAGCACAGCGTGGCACCCTCCTACCTCTTCATTCTGGTAGGCAGTCACCGCTATGAACTGCGTCTCAGGGAAGGAGCAGTTCATCACCATCCGGTGGGGGCCTCCTACGCGAACTATGTGCACCTGGGGCTCGTATTTGTGCAGGGAGTTCAACATTATCTGCAGGAAACAAAACAGAGAGACAGCCCCCAGTGCCACTATGGTACCTCACAGCCACCCCCTGGCTCTGCGACAGAGCAGCTGTCACTGCTGAACCTCCCCAGCCAGCGACTCCTGAAGCAGGAGGGCAGGTGCCTTCCTCCCCTGCAATAACCACAGGGCTGAACAGAATGAGACTTCACTGGACTGGATTTAAGACTTTGGATGCAGCAGCAGCACAGAGTATTTGTGTTAGCAGCTACGACCCTCAAACCACCGGGCTCCCACTGCACTAGAGGCTGCTGAAACATCTCAGGGGCACTCCTTGTCCTGCTTCTGCTGTCTGAAAGACTCAGAATCACCCTCACAGAAAAGGTGCCAGGATGAAGCTAAGGCAGTCATCCAGACTCCTCTCTGGGCAAGATGAAGTGTATCTAAACAGGCCTTGGCAGATCTAACCTGGCACTAAAAGCTGTGAATAGCATTGATTCCAGGAAGTCTATTAGGTCCTTTCATTTGCTCTAATGTAAGAAAAATATTATTTTTTTAAATTTGTACTTTTCAAAGTGATGCATACATACATACATTCATATATACATATCTATATACATGTATAAGAAAGAACACAGCTATTAGCAGAAAACACTGATAGTCATCAGTTTCTAATACTGTCACAAAAGGGGCAGCTGAAGCATAGAGTGGGGACGTGGTTTACTTGAACGCTGTGGTCATGATTTCAAAAGAAAGCAAAGGAAGTTTCAGTCATTTGTTATTTAGCAACTTTTGTTTGGATCCTGTTTCTCATACAGCTTTTTCTCTCCTACTTTCTACTATTTTCCTCTCCTTCATATATATACAGAGTGTTCCCCTGATTTTTTCCCCAGGGACTCTTTGACCCTCCAAGTTTCCTGTAGCTTTTTTTCCCCAAGTGCATATTTTTCTGAGGCTTTTGACTTTTCTGAGATCCTAGACATATGACAAGCATTTGCAAATTCAGATCCTGTTCTATGCTCTACAATAGTTCTTGTGTGCTGGTTCCACATATGACTAAGGAAAAGTCAGATCATCTTCCTGTTCTCCAATCTGTAAAACCTGAGATAATTTCCTCATCAGAGCACTAAGCTTACGGAGGTTCCTCACAAACCTAATGGAAATAACAGATTGAGAGCACATAACATTTACATGAAAGAAATTGATTCTGGGCTGACAAGTATCATCCACCATAGGAGTTTTGTACCAAACAAACAAGTGAACAAAAGGTCTTGTGCAACATTTTGTCTTTAGATGCATCATCAAAAATAAAATATGAAACAAAATTAATTTTCCTGTTTGCATTTTTAAGCAGTTCAAAGAGAAAGTCACTTATTTCTGGTACATGTGGTTTCTTTCCAAAGGCCAAAGCTGATTCAATAGAGTATTGATAATTATCATGATGCAGAAACAGACATAGTAATTATTTCATTTAGGAGCAGCCTTTTATTCTGCCATCTGACTCCTGCCAACATTCCACTTACACCAAACAACATTGGGGAGCACAACAAAAACCTAATACCCGTGGCCATTTCCCCCCCTTTCTCTGAAGTCCTATGTAAAAATCCCCAGCACACAAGATCAAATCTGAAAAGACCCCTGACGATTAAGTAAACCACAGCACTCTGTCTCTCTTAACATCAAGAAGTCCATTAAAATCTGAAAGTGCCAATTAAGGCCTGTTTATCCCTGTTTATATTTGGCCTCCAGAGAATAATTGGCATCTGTGGGTGAAGAGGCCTGTAAGGGCTTCTGTAATTATATAAATGTACCCTTGATATTTCTTGATTGGTAGGTGCTTGCAATTGAAGCCAAAAGGTGATGTGGAAACATCAGGCCATACCTGCCCACTCCCATTGAGCTTGTTGGTAAGTTTGACTTTGCTGAAGGAAATGGCAGCTTTCATCCAGTGGGCCCCAAAGTTGGGAGAGTCTGGGTGGATGTAGACACAGCTGTGGTTCGGTGGCTCTGGTTTCCCAGCTGGCACCCATTCTCCATTGATATACTTCCAGCGGTGGCCATCAGTCGGAGCAAAGTCCAGCAGGAAGGAGTACATGGCATTAGGATCCAAGCCTGACACGCTGATCTTCAAAACAGGGAACATCCGCCTGGCCAGGGAAACAAAAAAGCAGGACACCACTGGAAAGTGCTCTTGAAAGACTCTCCTCAGTATGTTTGTTTCCAGGTGCTCACTGACTAGCTCAGTATAAAAAACATCCTCCCTTCCTTCAATCCACCCTTGCCATCAGACCTTGCATTTGGCAGTTTCTCCAGTAATTTGTTCCCATACTTCCATATTCCCTGACCTCAGCAGCTTGAACATGTCCTTTTGCTTTTAGTTCCATCTCACATGCGAGCTCTAAACTTCTACCCAGCCTTCCATTATCTTGTGTGTTTAAAACTGAAATCCTGCCTTTGCTTTGTTTTGGAAAAAATGGTCCTTTTGTGCCCAAAGGTCCAATGCCACCTTTCCTCAATCCCCTTTTATTATTTTTTTTCTTTTGTAAAGGAGATTTGCAAGAGCTCACAACTTGATTTTCAGTGGTTTTTTATTTGTCCCAGTGCTGGTGATCGATGCCACACAGCTCTGAATTGGCACCTCAGTGCCTGAAAGTCTGCAGCAATAGAGCTAGTAGCGATCCAAGACTTTCAGCAACTGGGAATAACATGTGGACATCAGAACAGAGGTGTCTCCCAGAAAATGTATTCCTAGTCATTAAGCTTCTTAGCTTGTCAAGAAATACATGTAATTGCTGTTACATATCACCTCCTACATTCCTCTTCCATGAGTAACCAGCTTCCCTGCCCCAGACATCTCCCTGCTGACCTCTCCTGGCAAATGCCATTTCTCCATGCCACATTTTTATGGACCATAAATTCCAATGAAAGCAAACGAATCTCTGAAGGCCTTTGTTCTATGGGTACAGAGAGAGTACACTGAGCAACCAGAGGAATAGCCTGAGGTCCATAGCCATGGGGCTAAGGTAAGGTAGTTCTTGAGGCTTAGGCAGCCATACAAGACATCCAAAATACACAAGAAGGGACCTGAAACTCCAGGCTGTCTCAAAGGACACTGGAAGCCTCTTCCCCTGCAATCATACTCTCTAGTGACACCCAAATGCAAATTGCTAACAATCATGACATCCCACTCACCTGTCTGGATACCTTGATATAGTTTTTGCTGCATGCATTCAGCAGCTTCTGCTGACAGGAAAAGACAGATTTTGATAAATTTGAAAATTTTCATCTAATATTAATACTTGCTGATACAGGGTCAGTGCAGTATTGAAGAAGATATCATAGAATGCTTTGGGTTGGAAGGGACCTTAACGATTATCTTGTTGCAGTCCCTGGATTGGTGTCCCCAGCCCATTCCACTGGACCAGGTTGCTCCGAGCCTCATTCAGTCTGGCCTTGAACCACCTCCAGGGATGAGGCACCCACAGCTTCATGGGGCAGCCTTTTCCAGTTCATCACCACTCCTTGTATCACTCCATGTCCTTATAAAGTCCCTCTCCAGCTCTCTTGCAGCCCCCTTTAGGTACTGGGAGGATGCTATATCTCTCTCCACTCCAGGCTGAGCAACGTCAGCTATCTAAGCTTTTCCTCATAGGAGAGGTTCTGTCCTCCAGACTTGCTCCAACAGATCCATGTCCTTCCTGTACTGGAGGCTCCAGAGCTGGATGCAGCACTCCAGGTAGAGTCGCACAGAGTGGAGCAGAGGGTCACACTCCCCTCCCTCACCCTGCTGGCTGCACTGCTTTAGATGCAGCCCAGGATGTGTTTGGCTTTCTGGACTGTCAGTGCACATTGCTGGGTCATGTTGTGCTTCTTGTCCACCAACACTCCTGAGTCCTTGTCCTCAGGATTGCTCTGAACCTATTCTCCATCCAGCCCGCATTTTAACACAGAACCACAAAGTTCACTTTATGAAGTCTGTGCAGGCCCTGCTCTCAAACCTATCCAGATCCCTCTGGATGACATCCCTTTCCTCCACACGTCAACTCGAGCACACACCGGGGGGGTGCTGGCAAGCTTGCTGATGGTGTGCCCCTGTCACCAACAAAGGTAATGAAAAGCTCTAGTCCCAGTACTGATCCCTGAGGAGCAGCACTCCCCACTGGTCTCCAAAGTACTGTGAGCCATGACCTTTCTAGTTAAATAGAACCTTAATCAAGGATATACACACTATATGGTGTCTTTCTGATCAGGATGCACCAAACTGGGACATGATAAAAAATATGGAAGCATTGCTCCTTCCAATGCTTAGATCTCCTCCAGTTAAGGTTCAAAGGAACACATTTAGATACATAGCTGAAATTTAATTAGAGGAGAAAATTAATCCACATGAAAATTTAATTTCACTAGATTGTGGAGAGCTGTCTGTGTTACACGCAGATTGTTAATTCCTCTGCCCACAATGTAGGCAGACTGCTCTGCCTTTTTATTTGAGAGGCTCAAGTTTATCCCCAAAGGACCTATAGACCAATCCAGAAGAGAATACTGTCACCATCCATTTTAACCTCCTGTAGCACTAAGATTAGAGCACTTCCCTGTGTTAACCGGCTTCGCTCCCAGTAATTCCCTGCCTCACTTGGACCAGCATGTTTTGACTGTACAGAGTCTAACGATGGAAAACTTACCACCTAACATGTTCTGCTGATTAAGTGGCTTTACTGTTAAAATCTGTCTTTTAGCATGGCAAATTGTGATTTCTCCAGATTTGTTTCAGTCAGAATGTTTGTTTCAATGATCAGGTAGGTGCACACGTGACTTCCATCGCTGCAATAGCCAAGCCCTTCAGCCTCTTCATTTTATTTGGAGCAAATCTGCTGCAATTACTCCACAGTACAGACCTTGAGTGGGAAGATGTTTGATATCAAACTTAAATGTGCAGTAACCAGTAAAGTTGCTTTAGCATTCAAGCCTGGAAAGGGCTTCTTTCCCCCCGTCATGGCTGCCTGCACTGATCCCCTATGGATTCGCCCCATACAAAGAGGGGAACAGTGGCACCTCCCTGTCTCCAGGCAATAACAGGGATTGCAAAGTCTCAAGATACTGCCTAGCTAGTATGGCATAAACACTGAGAGAGGAAACCTACTCAGTCAGATAACACTGCATTTGATATTGAAGTGTCAATTGAATACAATAGGTCTGAGTAAAATAGGAGATGGTTTCCCACTGTATCAGCTACACCCACTGGGATGTATTTTGTGATATAGCACACGTTTCAATGTTAATGATGTCTATCCTGTTCAGAATATTTCCCCTAGGCATATTGCTAGGGCAGGTGATTATTATAATGAAGTATGATACAGCCATGGAGACATATCTGTATATAAACACTGAAGTTGGTTCATCTAACTGTGACATTTTGGGACCCTCAGTACCAATTAGAGATGACTCAGAGCAGATAGAATTGTGCATACTAGAATTTGACACTTGAGAAACACTAATCAATTAGACTTTCTTTCTCTGGGACACTCTTGTATCGGGTTTCTCTTTAATTTCTGAGTTTTGCTGACAAAGTGTCCGTCCACACCAACTGTTTTAGTTTTCACACGCAAAAGTTCAGGCTGGCTCTTCTCTCTCATTGTAGAACACAGTTTTCAAAAGTATTCATCTACCCTTCAGCAAGAATGGTTTAGTTGTACTCATTTAGCAGCAGCAGAATAAGATCAATATTTTTTTCTACTGAGACTCTCTCTGGAGACAATCACTGAAGAATTCTGAACCTGAGAAAAACTCAGCACTCACAGGAAATTGTCTCAAGTTTGTCTTCTTTTGAATAGCATGGTTCAGAGTTCTTTGCTTGAGGCCACGGTCTGTATTTTCTTTGTTTTAGTGTGATGCTGTGTTTTTTGATGAAAAATACTTTCAGAAATGCAGAGATTCTTTTTCATGGTCTCTGCTACAGTAACTATGTTAAAAAGATAAATGCAAATGGCAGTATGACATACTTTTGTAATTTTTAATCTTGCTGTAGTTTAATCATAAAGAATTCTATTTCTGCTCTCACTGACATTTCTAGAGATGTCACTGACTATAGGAAAAGTAGAATCAGGCTGATAAGGAGTGTATAAGTTAAAATTAAAAAATCAGGCAGCTTACACAATGAAATAAAAAGTACCCAGGCATATTCAGATAACAAAATATTCCCTTACCAACATTATAATAAGATTTTATCTACACATTCACCCTGACATTTCAGAAGGAACTAGTATCACCATGAAGTCATGATTTTCATTAGCTGAGAGGAAAGAAACTGAAAAAACCCTGTTGGTAAGGTGTGATTCTTTGTACCAATTTAATTAGTCAGAGACAAACCCATCTTACCCCATTTTAGTCCCTTACACTGCTAAAGAGACAATTTAAGCTACTGTACACCAAGTGAAAGTCCATTTAGAAGTTATCTGTAGCCTAACAGCAGTTTTCAAAGCAATTTAAATGAAGCAAAAGCAGTTTCACGATATAAAAAGAACCTCAGCAGCAGATTTCTATCAGTATAGGTTGTTAGGAGGAATCAGAATGGCAACAATGCTCTTACACCAAGAGCTGGTATTTTGGGAAGGTAACTTCTCTCTGCAGAATCACCTTGCTGATCCAATAGACTAGATTTTTCATTTTTACTTCTTTCACCTATGTCCCTAATCAAGTTACAGTCAACAGTAATTTCCGCTACAAATTCTGCAAAATCAAAGTCTGCAAAATTACTGAAAGTCACACCACATGAGTAAATCTTTCTCTGTGTCTCTTAATTTCTCTCTTCTATGTGGATCTCCTGAGAGCTCTTGTAAAACATGTGCATGTTGAGGAAACAGCTGGGGTGGGCAGCAGCAAAAGGCTGGTGAAGATAAATTAAATAAAAACCTTAGTGACACTGTGCAAATCTTGTTCTGCTAGCTGCTTGTCTGTTATGGGCTGGACTCTGCTGTCAGCCCAGTTCAGAGCAGAACCTCTGTGGAGAGCCTTCTTCAAGCTAGTGCCTGATTCAGAATTAGCATCCTTCTCACCAGATTTTCCACTCTTTTCCTGTGCCTTTCTATGTTCCCCAAATAGTGAGACGTGTGATCCATTTATACCACAATGTTTTGTCCTTCTAAAACAGTGTATACTAAGCAATATTCCACACTTGTTTCTAAGGGCACCAGCAACAACTGTGGGACCATGCAATTCAGACTGCACATACAGACAGAGCACATAGGGCAGTTTTATTGTACCCACTGTGGTACTGGCTGCTCGTACAAGCTGTTAATACCACCCAGAGGGATGGGAACTGCAGCTGGGTCTAACAACACCAATCTGTTTCTGTGCAGTAATTTGAAGCCTACAGATGAGGACTTGCTAATATAGACTGATGATTATTAGCAATAAGAAGTCAATACAAAGGTTTTGAGAGGTATTCCCTTGCAAAAGTTTCCTTTTTGTGCAATCACAAGTTAGTCTATCTATTTTTCCAGCATGCTTCATAGGAGGAATGGTTTGGCAGTGACCAAAAAGAAGCAAGGTCACCCCGTCTTTTTCATACACTGGTTTTAGCAGACTGCAAGGCTGCAGTCCCCTATAAACTCTGGTGTGCTCATTGCAGACACAGTTTATTATTGTAGATCTTAACCCCCCTGGCTGTCACCTCTATTGAGCCCACAGTGCTGAGCAGATCACTCACCTGCCATTCTTGGTCACGATCATCTCATTAGTGACTTCCCTGAATCTCTGCCAGAGCGTCGCATCCTCCAAGACAACCTGGAGCTGTTTCTCTGTGGGGTCACCTTTGTCCCTCCCAGCCTGGAGTTCACTCTCCACTATGCTGAGGAGCCTGGAGACGGTGCAGTCGCTGGGTTTTTTGCAGCCCAGCTCTGCCATGACAGCTTTACTGCCAGAAACTTCAGGTAGCTGCTGAAAAGACAAAAATAATAAGCCAAATTAAAAAGAAGTCAATTCATTGGGCACCGTCTGACAAATGTGCTCTCCACACTCTTTTGCCACTGCCTAGCTCTTTCCCCTGGAAGTCCCAATGGGCAGTGACACCAGTGTGTGGAGGTTTACGCACACACGCTCCACACAAAAAGAGGACTATCTCCTAATTACCTGTTAGACAGTCAGGTGGGTGGCTGGCTGATGACTCAATTGGCTGCCTTGAAAGAAGAGTCCTCCATCCAAATTAGCATGCTTTTATCTTTTTTCAACCTGAAGTGGGTCTAATTGTTCTGCTTGAGAACCAGGTTTCCATTAATGAAAATTGTTTCATTTCCAGACTGAAACAATGCATGGAAATTGCATTCATGCTGGTGCAGACTCTAACTGAAGGAGCTGGGAAGAGTCAAGGTAGTTATACAGAGAAGGTTGTCTTAAAATATTTTCACCATGAATGTTGCAGAAATGCATTAACCTCATTCCTCTACATTCCTAAATAAAAATATAATATTAAAATACCTTTCTGCATGGAGGTTTCAGTGCACAAGGAATCCCTAAGCTCCATTGTTGATGGATATTGTGTCCATCCCTTGGTCCCACTGTCATTCACAAAACAGGTGGCTGAATACTCCTCCGGCTGCATTTCCAGGACAGACCACACACTTCTAGGGCTGGGATGAGCTTAACTGTCTGAGACCTGGCACTGCTGACAAGCTCAAGGTCCATCTCATGCAAAAGCTCCCTTAGCATCCCAAAAAGTCATTCCCTCTCACCTCATCCTCAGACCTTCTCTGACAAGCCTGATCCAACAACACATGCCCTCCACAAAAAAGACACCATTTTACTGAGGACTCCAACAATTTCAGCATTCAAGGAGACAAGAGATGTGGGTTCAGTCCCCTGCTGGAGGGTTAAGTGGAAGCCCCACAAATAACAGTGACCTGTAAACACTGGGCTTTGGAATAGAACAAATGCTGGAGTATCTAACTTTTCCTGATACATCTATCTCTGCTAATGTCTTTAAAATTTCTGTTCTGTTGGACAAGGCACAGTCAGGGACTTGATTATGAAAACATAGTCCTAGAGGTCATTTTTAGAGAAATACATTTTCTGTCTGCTTATTGAGAATTTTGCAGTCTTTCATTCAACAGTCCCTGCTGGATTTCTGTGCTTCTGTCTCTTTTAGAAAGACAAAATGATTTGGTGGACCTTTTTTGGGATTTTTACAGACAAAAAAGAGCATGGCAGGCTTCGTAAAAGAAAATTTAAGTTATATCCATCATTTGACAAGGCTCAACCAATCTCGCCTTTAAAAAAACTGAGAGGTACCATCCACCTAAACAACAATGGCCAGAGCTTGATGGCACCTTATTTGGCACCCTTGCAGCCCAAATAATTCTGTGAGTCTATGTTGCTTTCAAACTTCACATTCTGACACCTCTTCCCCTCTTCATTTTTTAATTGTCAACTGATAACCAAAATACCTAGATTATTCTATAAGTAAACTCAGGTGAGTTACATTAGTAGGTGTCAGTTAGCAAGTTCTAGTTGTTAAACAGCCCACTTTCACTGCTGAACAACTAAAGAATCTACGTCTAATCTATAGGATATTTGAGTACCTGGAAGGGTACCACTTTGCACTTGAAAAAATAATTGCATCTCAGGCATGCTGGTGTAAATGGAATATGTTTATGTTTGGGTTCACCTTTCCAAATACTCAAAGAGGAGAGAGAAGCTACTGCTGTAATTTTTCCCTGCATGTGATCAAATGGCATAGAAATTGCATAGGAAAATATATGAGGGAATTTTAAATTTTATTATACTATAGATGCAAATAAACAGAGAAATTTGAGCTGCTGAAAGTACCATGAATTTTAATTAAACATCTTCAGGTTTTCAGGAACTTCTAAAACAGGTGTATATTACTTCGGGTTTTTTTTTCTTTTTTTCCAGCTGAAGCCCTATTTCCATGCAGCCTGTTTAGATACAGTTGCTCAAAAATTAGGATATTCAAAGTTAAGGCAGGTAAAGAGACAACAGCTCATAAAAGCCATAATAATCCAGTAGTTACACACAGTTCTTTCTATAGACAAATAAAAACAGAAGCAACCTGGCTTTCAGAAGTACTCACTGCCCATCTCTCCTGCAGGGCTGCGACTGGAGTGATACTGGATTAGAGCCTCAAAAAATCAGATCCCATCTACCTTCCTCAAGATGCTTAGAACTTAAAGGAAACCAAAAGCATGCGAAAAAGCAACAACAGTTCACATTGGTGCAAGAGTTTCCAAATGAGGAAGTGAAAGTCTCTCACCAGCAGACACTGGTACATCACTACCATAAAGTAGTGGGTAGCAGTAGGTAAAGAATATGCTCAGCAAAAATGGATTAGAAATGGAGGCTGCCATAAAGCAAAAGAAAGGGAGGACCTGCTTGGAGTGCACTGCTTGCCCAAAGCACTCCTGGGACTGAGCTGTGGAGAAGGAGGGCTGTATGGAAGGAACAGATAATGCACCTATTCCAGCAATGGGTTGGGATTGAGAATTTTTCATCAATAAGACTGGATTTTTTTACAGCTAGCATCCCTAAGGGAGAAGCATGAAGGTTTTAACTTTGGAGTATCATACTAAAACTTGTATTCTGCACAGTAATAAAATGCACTTTCAGATCCCAGAAGTGGGTGACACTTGTGTGCTTATGGTTATCACTCATACAAGGTGTCTGATTCTGGAAAATCTAGTGTCCAGAGGAAAAAATAAACCACAAATCTAACAGCTCAAGATACCTGACTTTCACACAGTTTGAACTTTAGTAATTATGTTACCATAGCTCAGGACACCTAAAACCATAGCTTTTTCCAAAATGAGAGTAGTTACCTGTAGTTGGTTAGTGGGAACAGCCCAATTACTATTCTCAGCATGGGGAAGGTTGTTTCAACTCTAAGAGTTCAGCCTAAGAGCAATTTATGTTGTATGTAGCAGAAGGCAGAGTTCACCACTGACACATCTTTCCATCTTTCCAACCTAAAAGAATTAACCAAAAAAATAAGTTTACACATATGCAAGCGCATGACCAGCTGAATGTACTTGGGCCTGAGATTTAATTAAAAACACACTTCCAGATTCTATGAATGAGACTTCTTTGCATTGTGCACTGTCTCTGTGTCACACAGCTGCCATGAGAGAGGGCTGCAGAACAGAAACCAGAGAGATTCAGAATCCCAGGTATTTGTTTATTGTTGGCTTTTCACTTACAAAAATATTACCTGTGGAAATTTACTTTGAATCTTTAGACTGTTTTAGGAGAAGTGAGAGACATCCTCTAATGTTTTGCCCCTCCATTCCCCTAAATAAAAACTTGGAATGCTTTCCAAACAACCCTTCTTTATCTTACTTTCTTTCAAGATTAATTTTGCCATGTCTACAAGTGCTGGAACAGAGGCCCAAACAGATAAATGTCACTAGCTGTAGGTATTGCCAGGACAGAGAGAACAATCCATTCTCAGATGTAGGTAATTTCTTGGGCTGGAAGTTAAAATTCCCTGAACCTAACATTTGAAGAAAAGGTAGCTGGACTTACAGAGGAGCACAGTAGATGTTTCTGGTGACCGACAGCCAGTGCCACTGCAAGGGGGGACTATTTATTGCCCCTCTTGCACTTACTACCCATTTAATTGGACAAGCAAATCAGTAGGGGTGGAAGAAGGAACAGAAAATGCCCCTACAAAACCTGCACATTTGAAAGCTTTCCCTGAAACCCAGCTGGGAGAGCTGGGCCCTTCCAAGCAAGGATCAGACTCCTTGTGGATCACAGACAGGCAGAACTAGCTCAGAATGGAAGCTCAACACCCACAATCATCTCCAATTCACTAATAAGAATTTAGTAACTCACATTTTAAATGAAGCAATGAGGACCGGGGAGAGCAGTGAAAGAGCAATCAGAACAATCCTGCAATTCTTATTAGACTTCACTCACTAAGTTTCAGCAGGAAAAAGCAAGGGGTTATTTTTGACTTTCTAATTAAGCTTGTTCTTATATGCCCCTGGCCACCAGCTGGAGAGGTACACAGAAAGGAGGGGGAGAAAAGCAAACAAGAAAAAAGGTAATTAAAGAGTCCTGTCTTGCCTTGACATTGGATAGCTGTTTTTTGGCCTTTAGCTGCATGTTTCCAAAGAAAAGGCAGCCCTTCATCATTAGATGAAATTGCAGAAAATAAGACTCATTCTTTCCATCTCCAAAGCTCCCACTGCAGCATTCAACTAAACCCCCTCTGAACACTGAGTCCCAACAACACAGGGAAATATAACCTCTATCACCATGACACTCCCAGGAAATCAACACCTATCAACTACCACAGAAAAATTGACAAAGCATAAAAAGACAGCTGCTTTCCTTCTGCTTTTTAATCATGTGTCCAACCCCTTAAGAGATTTCTAGGCCAGAGAAGACTTAAAGAAGATTAGCCTTTTCATTAATGTCAGGGTGAGGGCACAGTTTCAATAACTTCCCCCGGGTATGTTTTTAGCAGAAAAGCAGGCAGCTTGTTTGAGTGGTACCTCCCTGTCTGGTGTTATAACTGAGATTATACTGAGATTAATTCTGAGCCCAGAGAGCAGGGAAGGCTTTCCACAACAATCTTTCTGCTTTTTAAATGGACAAGGAAGAAAAAAAAAAACCAAACCCAAAGAAAAAACCTTAATGTAGTGTGATGGGTTGACCCTGGATGGGTGCCAGGTATCCGCCAAAGGATGGGTACCACGCTGTCTCTTCCATCCTCTGCCCTCCTCAGCAGGGACAGAGAAAATGTTACAAAAGGCTCATGGGTTGAAGTAAGGGCAGGGAGAGACCACTCACCAGTTGCCAACATTGGCAAAGCAAGCTTTACTTGGGGAAATTAATTTATTACCAATCAAAACTGAGTATAAGCTAATAAGAAATAAAACCAAATGTTAAACACCTTCCCTCCACCTCTCATTTATTCCTAGGCCTAACTTTCCTCCTGGTTTTCTCTTCTCCTTCCCTGCCAGTGACCTTCTCAGTGGAAGGGCTCCTCACACTCTTCCCCTGCTCCAGCATAGGAGTCCTCCTATAGAAAACAGTCCTCCATGAACTTCTCCATCAGTTCTTCCCATAGCCTTCAGTTTTTCACATAGTGCTCTAGTATGGGTCACTTCCATGGGGTGCAATCCTTCAGGAACAGGCTGCTGCAGTATGGGTCCTCTGCAGGGTCACAAGTCCTGCCAGCAAACCTGCTCCAGTGTGGGCTCCT